GTGCAACGTAGCTTTACAATACACGGCAAACATTCTGGCAATAAAAAGTAAGTGATAAACTGGATTTGAATTGGATCCAGTGTTCGAAATTCGACCGCGCCTTTACATAAACTAATCAAATTTTAGAAATTATCTGCGGTTAATTTCCATATTTGGTTAGTGCGCGCCGATTCCGCTGATTGAATTTCGAACAGTGATTGGATCTGAACTTGATCTCCAATTTAGAAAGGTAACGACTATATACTGGCGAAGTTTCAGAAGCAATGACGTTTCGTGTAACAACAAACTTCCACTATGCTAAAAATATATAAATCGGTGTATTATTTGAATATAATATATAACAACTTATTATTGCCATTAAAATTTTTAATTAACCACCGAAGCATTTCTGGTGAGGATGTGTATGTTTAATTCAACCCATAAACAGTAATATAAACAATAGTATGATAATAATATTAATAATATTAAAAAATTCTTCTCGTTATTAATGCGCCATCCACGCTAAACGAGTCACATTAATGCAAAAGAATATTCAATTGGCCAGGAGAATCAGAGGAATATGGGGAGGCCTTGGATAGTTATCATGCTAATTAAATCAATTTAAAATTATAATAATTAGTAATAATTAGTTCTATATGATGTATGATCACAGAAAATGTAAATACAACAGAATTGTAATAAATTCAACAGCATTGCAACAAATTCAAGTGAAATAAAATAAAATAAAAATTTTCTTTTTTCTTTAAATTGATCAAAATCACCAAATATTAAAAGTACAATGAAGCATGGAAAAACTATTATTAATATGATAGAGTAAACAAACAATAATAAAAGGTCATGTACTTTGGATTTTTTTTATTTTTTACTATATATAATAATTAAATCTAAAAAAAATAAATTTTCAATAATTACTTCTAGAAAAAAAATTGATAAAAAAAAAATGATAGGTATATTTGAATTTTGGGTATTTTTCAAATTTTTTGGGTATAATTTTCTAAAAAAAGTGGGCAGAGAAAAGGTGATCTTCAAATATACCATCTACTAAGATTGTTCGGGGTCCCGTTTAGGCATTTTAACAAAAAAAAAAAAGGAATACATTTGAATTAAAAAATTGTTAAAAATCGCATTCCATAAAAGGAATGATTTTCATAGAAAAATTTCACTGGTTGGCGCAGCATTTGATGATTGGCACCATAAAACTATTACATCAAATTCGCTTCCATTAAGTCAAAAATGACATAAGTAAAAACACTTGATGTGAGTAAAATTGCTTTAAAGGCTAATAAAATATAAAAACATAAATTTATATATTCAATTTTTTATTTTTATATTTTTCTTGTGTATCTATTTAAGCTCTTGTTTTTCTCTAAAAAAAAAAAAGAATTTGAATTAGCATACACAACAACAACAACAACAATAACAACATTATTATAAACCACTTACTTCGACAATTGATGTAGCATCTCTAAATCTTGCAATAAACAAAACATTAGCATTATTAAATAATTCTTCTTTTAATGATATCACAATAAATTGTGATCCTTTAAATCTAGTTCGTAACAGCT